ATATATATATATATATATATATATATATATATATATATATATATATATATATATATATATATAGAGGGGTTTAAGTATTCTAACTAATTATTGTATGGATTTAGAAATGATTGTGGGTCAATCAAAATTAAATAAATAAATAATTAATTAAATAAATAATTAAGGGTAATTTTGTAATTTGATTAATAATTTCCACAAATACTCCCTATAATTATGTTATAATTAGATTGACTTTTAACCTAATTTATCCATTTATATCTACAGTCGTTCACCATCTATCTCTCTGTTCCCCCTCTATCTCTGAAAACTATATCTAGGCGGTCGACCACAAAAATCGATCACGAGTTCTACTACACCTTTTCTTATTCTGATTTGGTGGTGGTGTTGGGTATGAGAGCCGATGTTGGTGGTCTTCTGGTGATTAGAAGATAGTGGCTGAAGTGTGGAGGTGTGGTTGTGCGATTTTGTTTGAATAGAAAACACGGGATTGGATGATGATGGTGGTGTTCGTTGCGCGATGACTATCCTTAGCCCGATGAAGAACCCACTAAAAGTCTTGAGGTCGGTTAGTTTCACTGTTTTCACCATGGCATCCACATTGCCACAGGTTACCAGTTCTGCTCCTGAATTCTTCCCTTTGGACGTTGAAGCTGATGATTGGAGAACTCACTCAGACGCTGCCCATCAACCATCAAACGTTCACGACACCACTTATTTTCCTGATGAAGAACCCATCAGAAGTGTTCCTTTAGGTATCAGTATTCTCACTTGCTTTAAATTTTGTCACAATCGAATTAATTAGGGCGATGCTTCAACCCAATGCGATTGTTAGATAATGTTTTTTTCGTTCTCTCTATTGAACGTCGATGCTGATGATTGGGTGTTTTTATCAATCTGTTTGTTCGATTTATATTTTTAAGGATTGATTTGGTGTAAATATTTGTTTTATTTAGAAAATAAATATGAGTTTTCATATTGAAAATTACAATATTAGGTTGCATACTAAATGGACCAGGGGAGTCGGGGATTCAAAACTTGGATATGATAGTGGTTCTCATGGGAAGATTGATCTTTCTTTTGGAAATTTACAATTTAAGTTGGTTTTCTTATAGGATTAACATTAATATATATATATATATATATATATATA